TCCTCCACCGAATGGGCCTATCAACAATGCTGCAAGGCGAGCGCGCTCCAATAGCGCATTAGCAAGCACGGGCGACGAGGGCAGATTGCCAGTGACGGAGAACTTCTATGCTGAGGACGACGAAGATATCATGAGAGCTTCTCTTGAAACCGCAGTCACAACTGCAATCGACCTTTTCCAAGGGGTCGACAAACAGCAACTTTCTCTTCTTGGCGCAACGACTGATCTGACTGGTCCTCTTGTGGAGAAACTGATTGAGCGTTATGTCACAGAAAATGTTCACAGTCAACTTTGGCCGAGACTCAATGCACTGAAGAGACCTTATGATCTCGAACTGGAAGCAAAAATCAGAAAGATGCAGTTTATCGATATTTCGCAATTAGGCATTGCCATTGATGGCGGTTCGAAGGCGAAGCATGACCTTATCATTCAACTAGGTCCGGCCGTTGAGGAATTCAAGAAGATATCTGCGGCCACTTGCCCCCAAGTCATGCTGGATCTTTTATTATCAACAATCAAGATTGTGTCCCGCTTGACGGATTCATCGAAACCTCAGGCAGCGTCATCTGATGCATCCCCGGAGAAACCCATCATGACTATCAACGCGGATACATTGGTCTCATTCTTGCTCTATGTGGTCATCCGATCACAAGTCAAGCAGTTACAGGCCCGCCTGATTTACGTCAGGAATTTCATCTTCATAGACGACGTAGACAGCGGCGAGTTGGGCTATGCGCTCAGTACATTCGAGGCTGTGCTGGCTTATCTTGTTCTTGACTCGGCCGGCTTAAGGCGAGCCAGCAGGAGAAACAAAGCCCTATGGGACGCGGCGAAGACAGGAACTCTGGACGACCTTAAAAAGATAATGGAACCAGGCTCGGGGGCTGCAGATGACGACGAGCTGTCAGAATCACCTACGTCTAGCCGTCGAGCATCTACAGTGTTGAATCTCCAAAATGACACGAGATCGACAGGTCCTTCAAGATCTAGAAGATCATCACTGCGACTCTCCTTTAACGATCCGTCACCATATGAACACTATTCTCATGGTTCGGGATTGAGTCATGTATTCCCCTTCCAAGCAGAGGGTGAAGACGAAACACACGCGCACGACTTTTCTATACCAATACGACGGGTGAAGAAGGTAGCGATGGACACCCGAAGCATATCAGGCGATTCCGAAGTTTCATTCCACTCTCGCACGGGGAGCGTTGGGACCATCGGCAGTGCTCTGGAAGGGGACATTTCAGTGAACCGATTGTCACAGACAAACAACTCTTTTGGGGAATCAGTTCTTATGATGGCCATCCAGGCTGAGCGTGCTGAGACGCTCAAATACTTGCTCTCCTTGACCGATTATTTCTCTCCTTCTTTTGTCCTAGATGACATGAACAACGAAGATACCACTTTACTGAGTGCTGCCATACAATTAGGCAATGCTCAAATTATAGATTTGACACTCGGATTTATCATCATGTCGACAACTCCCGAGCAATTAGTTTCATATCTGGCGCAGCAAGACATCTGGGGACGCAGCTGTGCTCATTACCTCTTCAATGCACCGGCTTTGATCACTCGAATCGGGCACCTAATACCTTGGCGGCAAAGAGACAAGAACGGGCAAACTCCGCTCTTCGCTCTTTGTCGCTCTTATGATCATAACAACTATCTGGAAATGGTGGAGGCTGGGCTCAACGCTGCAGCTGCAGCGCAACATGATGGAATGCCACTCCATATCGACGAACATGTTGACAACAAGGGCAATACACTGCTTCACATTGTCAGCAATGCTAGTCTTGCCATGAACATACTGCAGTTTTGCGATGTTGACGTCAATGCGACGAACGATAAGAGGTTCACAGCGTTGATGGTAGCCAGCAAGTATGGCAGATACGACATGGTCCGCACTCTGTTCGCCGATCCAAGAGTGGATATAGGGGCAAAGGAGATCAGAGGCCTCACAGCAGTTGAACTGGCGAAGGATGACGACGTGCGGAACAAGATCGATGATCTTGCCTTGTTCAGCATGCCCGCTGGGCCAGATGCACGTATCACTGGTGTGGTCAGGGCATTCTTCGTGGAAGATGCGACAGTGAGATTGGTGTTGAAGTCAGCGGCTCCGACAGATCATGATAGTTATACGGTGACAACGAGTCGTCGCTCGCTGTCTGATTTCGAACATCTCCCTACCCTTCTGGCGCTTGAGAATCCAGCTTCGTGGATACCGTCACTCGCCGATGTTCGCTCTCCGTTCCAAATACCGTCGAAGCCATCACGAGCCATTCTGCGAGACATGCAAGCTCGCGCAGACTGGTTCTTGAAGATAATGCTAATGCATCCAACTTTTGCCACGCACGAGATGCTATGGGAGTTTTTCCTGGTACCAGAATTGCAGTTGGATATGATGGAGCAACGGACGCTCCTCAAGACAGAAGCGAGAGCAGAGAAGGTGCGAGATGAATATGAACCTGTGGAGGACGTGAGAGAGGTGGAGCAGTTTGTCAATCATGCGCGAGAAATGATCCGGAGCGTGAACTACTCGACTAAGAGTGCGACCAGACGCGCCAACAACCTCGGACTAGTCGCAGCAGGTACGTACACTGGACGAACATCATGATCCAATGGATTTATGTGAGCTAACGGGTAACCAGACATGTACGATTCCTCGGTGCTGCTTCATCGAGCTGTTTCAACACTGCAGTTCCTCCCTCCGAGATACATAGATGCGTTTGAGACGTATGTGCGATCCATCGTCCCCACCCAGTCAAACGCGCAAGGAAACCTTCACTCGTCATTCCTGGCTCTGCAATCTACGGTTCAGGCACTGCTGGCGTCCTTGTCTCGGCCACCCTCCATCATTTCTCAGATGAGGGCGGCCAAGCGTGAGGCCGACAGGAACTTTAATTCTCTTAACAAGTCGAGGTGGCCGCTGGGTCTCCTGGATGATACTAGACAGCGATTATATGATGAAAAGGAGGAACGAGCACGGAAGTCTCGGGAAGAAGCCGCGAATCTCGCGAGGGAACTTAGATACACACAACAGACAGTGGCTGGAGAACTAGCAGGGTGGCAAGAACTACACGAGAAGATGGGCCGCCACGCCATCCGAGAATTTGTAAGGGGGATGGTCGTGCAGGAGAGGATGAAGCTGGATGGTATGCTGAGAGCACTACGAAAGGTAAGGTTGCCTGATACGATTGTGGTGGATAACGGGACTAGAACACCAGGCCCATCACAAGTGAGGAAGCCTGAAGAAGTCGAGATGGATGAGAGCGGGGATAATAGCGAGGCTTGATGGGGAGGGTAGTGTTGGGTGTGGATACGATACTGGGGAACTCCAATCCATAAGATGAATATCAAGCATATCCATACACAACACCATGAAGACGCGTGATATGGCGATGGGAGATAGAAGAGACGCGTCGAGTGGCGGTGGAGCACATGTGCTTGATGCCAAGCTGAAGCTGATCTGCATGGGTTGCACGAAGCGAAGGAGGGGGGGGGGGGGGGGGGGGTCTGGTAAGGCAGAGACAGACAGATGAGATGAAATGGATGGACGAATACCCGTCGCTGGTCAAAGAGTCATAGAAAAGTTATTCCGGGTCACTTACATTAAGCGTATATCTTATAACAGTGAACTATTCTTTTGGATAAGCTCTATACAGTTGGCTATGTGGACGGAGTCTAGGCATAAACGTCTAGAGATACAATACTGTTACAGGGAGATAGCAGATATTGTTCATTGAAAATGAAAAGGAGAGAAAAGAACCAAGAAAATACAGAGGCTCTAGGGTATTGAGTATGCGTTGAGTGGCACGACGATGAGGCAGGCAGTGTGTACCTGGCGTCATGAGGTCCACCACGGGAAGCAAAGTACACTACGGAGAGGCACAAGAGACATTGTCGCACTGAACACTGGGGGCTTGCGAAGGTGTAGGGGTTACAGAAGAGGTAAGTGGAGCGAGATACAAGCGTGGACGTGGTCGCGTTGGTCAAAGAAGGCGTTTTTGGCCGTCAAAGCTTGGCGAGAGACTAGGACCAGGATAGAGAATGAATGGCCAAAAGTTGAATGAAACATGAAACAAGAAACGGCAAGACACGCGGGAAAACGCAGCACGTCCACGATAGTCTGCAGCAGATACTACCCACCTCCACTACCTACCTTAGTACCTAGCACGTAGTACATATACGCAGTAGCCTCTCCATATTCTAGAGTCTCAGATCAAAGAAACTTCCGCGATCGTTAGTGGACGCGATGTCTATTGGCTGACGGCGCGTGGGATCCTGGCGCGTCGATAACAGCGAATGAGAGTCAAGAGCCAGGTCGCGACACTCAAGCTCGACTCTCCAAGAGAACAGGTTGAGGCTGTGTAAGTCGAGATGGGGAAGAGAAGAGAAGAGAGATGGATCAAGAAGTCTGGTGGACTGACAGCAAATTTCCGTAGCCGCGGAGAATGGTGCGACGATGGGCTTTTAATCAAGTCAGACACTCACTCACTCACTCAAATTGGCTGTGGATGTATTAAGCGCCCGTTAGGTAGAGACAGTTAATAAATTAAACGCCCGGCGGTTAACGGCAGCGGACAAGGCAAGGGCCAAGGCCACTGAAACCACGCGAGAGGATCTGCTTCTATTCTGAGACTTGGTTTGAGAGAGGGAGACAGATTGAGGCTCATGCTCATACGTATGTTCTTCTAAACGCCATGTATGAGCCGAGCTGGGCTGTTCTTATGGCGCTACTCTACGGGAATGTTTTAGATCTGGACTCCCGGGCGGGGGGGGGAACAGCGATGACCCTGAAAATGGAATGGACGGTTGGTTGTCCCTCGCAACGAGAAACTGGTGTAAAACGCGGTGGTAAATAGATTTGGGTGCAGAACACGCTCTGGAGAGGGACATCGCGACTTGTACGTAGAGAGTCGCGTTCTGGTGTTGAACCGAACGAACCACGAGAAAAGAGGGAGGGAGGGAGCTAGATATGCCGAGTCAGGGATCTAAAAATGAGTCACAAGCGCTGGGCCATTCAGCGGCCGGGCTCGTGCATTGACAGACCCAAGCCGAGAACCACGATCCTTGGCGATGATCATGACGCCTGGGGTAGTATTACACATTGCACAGTGCATCGCCGCTCTCGCACTTACATGCTCTCCTCTCAGCACGAGGCGCTTACAGTGTCAATACGCATCCGCCAATCATGGCCCTCTGCAACTTACACCTCGAGATCGAAGCGCGTCCGCGATAATTCTTTACAGAGACAGAGAAGGAAAAAAAGAGACGTGTTTCAGATTCTTCTCTTTCTCGTGTTCCCAATGAGAGACGAGTTGTCTAATGTTTCTTGTTTCGTGGAGAGTCCAGGGGATCGGATGGGTCCTATGCCGGAGCCCACAGCCTACAGCCCGTCAGCCGCCCATCGCCAACCATTGTCCTTCTCTGCTTCATCGACAGCATAAGAAGACGGCCTCGCCCTGGGTCTCTGGTCCTCTTTCCTCTGCTTCTGTCCAGCATCTTTCATCGTCGGCCTGTCTTTTACCAATCATCTCTAATCATCCTCACTCTCCTCTTTTCCCATCTATTGTGATCCGGTATCACCATCACCATCACCATCACCAGATCAAAAAAGCTTCACAGCAAACTTCCAAGTCTCGCTGGCTCTGAGACTACACTCTAACCAACACCAAAAACCTTCCGGTTTCATCTTGACCTTTTTTCCCCCACGGAGCTGGTCTCCTGATCCTTGTTCATACATTTATAGACTCTCACTAATACTTCCCACATCATGTCCACGTAAGATATTCTCACCAACCAGCAGAGTCCATCCGCCATACATAATGCTAATACACTCTCAAGAAGTCTGGCTGTCGATATGCCCTTCGACTTCAGCTTCCCATCTGCCTCTATTGAGCGCACAAGCCCTCCTCCCAGGTCAACTCTGCCCTTTGACCAAGCTTTTCTCGACATGGCCTATGCTTCAGCTTCAGCTACTGCTGCTGGCCATATCTCTGGTCACTCTCGCTCATCATCCAAGGCTTCAGTCTACTCTGCCATCTCAGCCGACTCAGACCATGAATCTCTCTGCTCCCGTCTCACAACACCTCCTCGTGCTTCACCAGCTGTTCGCCAGCATGGCCCTCTTCTCCTGCCAAAGATTCGCTCTCAAGACCAGGATATTGATGCCACCCCTTGCCACTATCGCATGACTACTCCTCCTGCTCCCAACCCTGCTCGTCACTCAAGGAGCTACACCAACCCCGAGTCTCTTACCATCGCCTTTGACACTCCTGGCTCAGTCAACACAAGCTTCTCCAGCCAGCCTGACGACACTCTGTCTGCGTCACTCCTGGCATCTCCGGCCGACTTTGCCACTCACATCTCTGCCTCTCACCCACGCCGTGCTTCCAGCCTCGATGTCTCCACAATCGATCGTTATGGCTACCCTACCTATCGTCAGATGCCCTCGTTCGTTCCCGTCCCTCAGCAACAATCTGACTACGGCTTCTACGACTACAGCCCTCGTGCTCAGTCTCCTCTGAGCCTCACTGCCACTCCGGACCCTACTCCCAATACCAACCTTCTGAGCTTCCTCACCTCTTCCAACCCAGCTGCTTCTCTGGTCCGCCATATCTCGTTCCCGGTGCGAGATGCTGCCACTAAGCACTTTTGGTGGGATGTTCGCAACATTCGCTCTTGGTCCTCTTTCAACGCATCTACCATTCTTTCTCTCCCCGGTGCCTCTCTTCTTCTTACGAACCCTGTTCCCGCTCCTCTGCTCCCCCAGCCTACTTTCGCATCTCGTCACCCCGAGACTGAGGCTCAGCTTCACTCCATCTACGCCTCGTACTATCTCCCCAAGCTGAACTCGGCTTTGGCCATGTCATCAACTCGCCCTCTTCACCTCTCAGTGCCCCCAAAGACTGCTGGCATGAACGATCTCCTCTTTGCCGCCAACGCTGCCGGGGAGTCTGCTACTGCTGCTGCCATGTTTGGTGGCAAGCCCACTGCCCGAGTTGTTGGTATTGTCCGCAGCTTCGACCGCTTCAACACTGGCATGCGAGTTGAGGGCAACATCAAGCGTGTTGAGTATCTCCGTGGCCTCTCAGCTATCCACCACGCCATGCGAGAGCACGGGTGCCGCTATGGGTTCATCCTTACCGAGATTGAGCTTGTGCTTGTCCGCAACGGCACTGCCAACACTCCCTTCTTCGGCGATCTCGAGGTTACATCAGTCCAGCTCGCTGCCTCTGCCCCTGAAGGCGATGCTTCGACCCTTCCCCACGAGACTCCGCTCACTGCATGCCTCGCCCTCTGGGGTCTCTGCCAACTTGCTGCCGACGACACACCCGCCGGCCATGCCCACTGGCGTGCTGAGATCGGTGCACCCGCTGAGGGAACTCGCCGTAAGGCTCAACCCCGTGACTCCTGGATTCCTCAACCCCAGCTGGCTGAGAAGCGTGAGGCCAAGAGAAGCCGTGGATGGGTGTGGCCCGAAGACGCCATCGGCCGCAAGGAGCTTGGAAAGCGAGGTGTTCGATATGGAGGAGTCTAGGGGCCTGGCGCCTTTAGCAGGATGACGATGATATGATAGATGATGGATGACTGGAAAGAAAAGACATGGTAATGAATGGACATGCGAATTGTAATGGATTTAGTATTTAATTAAACTACTTCAAACCCACATTGACTGCATCTTGGTGACATTAGCTACTGAAAGAGTACGAGCCAAGAAGCAGCGTCTTTATCAGAACAAAGCAACTTGGACAAGGGTTTGTAGAGAGACCTTATTCCATTTACCTACACGCCTCTGATTGTCTAGGTAGGTAGATCGTTAAGCTTGTTTATACCATGGGCTGTATCACCATTATACCACCTCGACATCCCACAGTGCCCAGCAATAGACTTAGAAACAATCACTATATTGCATCTCTTATACAACTGAAATATAAAAAAGGCACGCCTTAGCTTAGCCACATTTGACATTCGGGGACATGGTTGCTCAAAAGAAGGCGTTATACCTTTTCTTCCGTGCCTGACTCATGTACATAAACCGACTTACACAACCAGTTTGCACAACAAAAAACGCCGTCATCGTATAGGGGTCAGTACATCAGTTTGTGGCTCATTCGAAGCACTGAAAACGCAAGTTCGAGTCTTGCTGACGGCAAGACATTCATCTTTTGCCATTTTTTTGCAAATCATTCATGTTATGGACTCAGATATGCTGCCCTGTTATTTTGTGCCAGGGTTTTTGCCCCTCTTAACCCCGCCATCATGGAAGACGAGAGAATCAAGGATGAAGGTGGAGCGGTGGGATGCTGTCCGGCAGAATGAGGCATTCTGTACTGAAATGCAGAGAAGTTGACAATATAATGCGGCTTGCTTGCCATGTTACATTGCTGATTTAAATAGATCATGTTCAACTTGGTAAATTGCATACTGAGTTGCCTCAAGTCTATCACTGTACACGGTAGTAAGCGATGCTGTTTCGAAGTAGCTAAACGAAAGTGTTAGCGCTGATGACGCAAATGTCTCAAATCCCATTACATCTCCAAGACGTAAAACCATATAAGAATCTGTCACAACAGCACGACAAGAAGCTGTACGTATAAAGTCATAGTGTAGGGAACATCAAATAATGAAAATTATCCTCATCGACTGGTGATAGCCATTACAAATGTAAATTCATGGGGACATAAAGTTGATCTTCATCACATCATTGCATTTAACTTTTTTCTATGGACTTAAATACGCCTGGTGGTATCGAGAGCTTAGCTCTTGGCGGCACCAGCCTTGATGTGCAGGATATCGCCGTCCTCGACGACGTATTCCTTGCCCTTGGTCATGATCTTGCCCTTGGCCTTGACCTCGGACTCGTCACCGAGTTCCTTTAGGGTGTTGTAGTTGAAGACGAGAGCCTGGATGAAAGTCTTCTCGAAATCGGTGTGAATAACACCGGCAGCCTGAGGCGCCTTGGTGCCAGTTCGGATGGTCCACTGTCGAACCTCATCAGGTCCGACGGTGAAGAAGCTGCCAAGCTGAAGGGTCTTGCGCATCTGAAGAATGACCTTGGGCAGAACAGAGTCGGCCCCGACGTTCTTCTGCTCCTCCTTGGCCTCAGCCTCGGTCTCGAACTGAGTAAGACGAGACTCGTAAGAGACGGAGACGGGAATGAGAGGGTCGCCCTTGGCGTTCTCGTTGATCCACTCGACAATCTTGGGAAGATGCTTGTTCTTCTTGCGGATGAAGTCCTTCTCAGACAAGTTGACGAGGTAGACAACGGGCTTGGCGGTCAGGAGGAAGAGAGGGTTGATGACCTCAATCTGGATGAGAATGTCAGTGAGGGTTCTCATGAGTTTTTTCCAACATCAACAAGTGTGAAGATTTGCGATCAGATTAAAGTTTATCTCACAATGCCTCTAGCGTTAATATGTGAGGCATTCGACGAGCTGGGTTATAGATTCAGGCCATATGGCCTTTTGTCATCAGGAAAGCAAGATGTGTAGAGCAGAAGAAATGGAAGAAAAGTTCTTACCTCCTTGGGGCCCCAGGTACCCTTGCGGACATCCTTGCCCTGGTTGAGCCAGTCCAAGATCTTCTCAATGGTTTCCTGTTCTTGCTTGGCCTTCTTCTGCTCCAGAGACTGGCCACCCATGCGGGTCTTCTTCTTCTGGTTCTCGAGGGCCTTCTCAACGAACTCAATATCCTTGAGTCGCAGCTCCTCGCTGATGATGTCAAGATCACGGGTGGGGTTCACGTCACCCTCAATGTGGATAATCTCGGCATCATCGAAGCAACGAACAACCTGGAAGATGGCATCGACGGCGCGAATGTGCGACAAGAAAGCGTTTCCAAGACCAGCACCGGTTGATGAGCCGCGGGTAAGACCAGCGATATCGTAAACGGTCAAGTTGGCGGGAACAACGGACTTGGGCTTGTACTTCTCAACGAGCCAGTCGAACCGGTCATCGGGCACGACGACGCGGGCTTCCTCAGGGTCGATGGTGGCATAGGGGAAGTTCTTGATGCTGTCAGCACCCCGATACTAAAGACGGCGAATGGCGAGGGGGCTTCATACAGCTGGGTTACCGAGGTTAGACTTGGTAATGGCCTGGAAGAGAGTAGATTTGCCGACGTTGGCCAAACCGACCTGGACTATGGGTTAGCACGTGGCATACATCGACGATAGGATATTGTCACGCACAATACCACTCTTCAAGTTGTTTCCAGGCCTGCCCAGAGGGATCTTCTCCTCGACGACTTGCTTCTTAGGAGGCATCTTGCGTGACTTGGCGTAGTTACGACGTTGAACGAAGAAAGCTAGGCCCAAGTGTGTGGATGGAACGTGTCCAAGAGCTGCAGAGCTTGCTGCGCGGGGTGCAAGAGGAGGAAAAGAAGCGAAGAAGATGGAAGATTTGATGGACTTCGTGGTGAAGTATTCAGGTTGGCTAGTGCCAAC